AGACACACACGACGACACAACAACACACACACACACACACACACACACACACACACACACACACACAACACACACACACACACACACACAGAGTCACAGACACAGAAATACACACCGCCCCACACCGGTTGCCCCCCCCCAAAAAAAAAACAATGCACGGCCGCTTACCTCGCCGTCCATGGCGACGATGATGTCTTCAACCTCGAGTGCACCGCTGGCGGGCCCCTCTGGGTCAACCCAGCTCACGCACTTCACACTGCAGCCGAGGAGGCAATAGGGTGATGAGCACGCAGCAAAGCATGGTGTGAGGGAGTGAAGGGCGCGAAGCATGTATGATGCTTGCAGTGTTTCGCTTTGCAAGTCACGCTTTCCGGCACACACACACACACACATACCGCCCGTCGATGCGCCACATGGTTGCAATGCCAAAGCCAAAGGGCACTGTGGGGTTGGTCCGGCACACGTGCACATCAAACTGATCTCCATTTTCTGCAGAGAGAAAAACAAGACGCACGTGTGTTTGATGTGGGCGAAAAGGAAGTCAAACTACGTAAAGCACGTGCACACACACAGACAGACACAGACACACAGACACACACAGACAGACACAGACACACAGACACACAGACACACACACACACACACAGACACACAGACACACACACACACACAGCTCTCACCCCAGCGGCGGCCGCGGTCCGGCTCCAGGCGCGATTCAGACTCGCTCGCCCGGCTCTCGTTGTGTCCGTGCGAGGCAGCCGCTACAACCCAACGCACGCAAGCATACACATACACACATGTGTGTCAGCAACACGTACATCACCATCCCAGCCTGCTCAAGAGCTGCATAAATTGTGATGCAAACACCTCAGCAACCCGGCCTCACCGAGAGGGTTGTCGCCGCGTCGGGACTGTGCGCGGGCCTGTGCACGCGCTCGCTCCTGTAGCTCGCTCTTTGTTCGCCCGTGCATCTACAACAAGGGAAAGGCAGTCAGGCGTCAGCACAGCATGCATATCTGTGTGCTTTTGTGTGTGCTTGCGTTCTTGCGTCCACCTTACCTCGCTCCCTCACATGACTCACACAAGTCCCGCCCTTCTCCCTCATCACACGCATGTCACCTCTTCCTGGGCGGCGCGTTCCTCCTCCTCAATCTTCTGGCGCCGACGACGCTCCTCTTCCTCCTGCAGTCGCACATGAAAACCGTGTGTGTGTATGTGTATGTGTGTGTATGTGTGTGCATGTGTGTGTATGTGTGTGTATGTGTGTGTATGTGTGTGTATGTGTGTGTGTGTGTGTGTGTGTGTGTGTGTGTGTGTGTGTGTGAGGATGATATGGTGAGGCGGAATGCATGGAGCGCAAAACGACTTGGAAAGGCACACAAGCACGACACACACACACACACACACATGAGCGCGCGAGTGTACGCACCCTTTCCTGTTCTTCGCGTTCACGGCGTGCCCTGTGAAATAATTCAGACGACAGTCACAGACATTAGCACGGTCAGCCAATCGAACGTTGCAGAAGAAACGACAAACAAGTGCAACGGTATGCACACGACAAGTTCAACACACAAAAACAACACACACACACACACACACCCACCCACACACACACACACACACCACGTACCTCTCTTCCTCTTCTTCTTGTCGCTTGCGGCGTTCCTCCTCTTCCTTCTTCTTCCTCTCTTCCTCCTCTTCAGCACGACGGCGGGCTGCTTCCTCCTCCTCCCTCTTCTTTCTCGCTTGCTCCTCCTCCTGCTGTTGTTCCCTTCTGCGCCGTTCGGCCTCCTCGGCTTCTCTCTTCTTCCTCTCCTCCTCCTCGCGCATACGCTGCTGCTCGCGCTCCCGTCGCCGCCCATCCTCCGCTGCACGCAGCTCTGCATCGCGCTCAGCACCCGCCCCACCCTAACCACAGCACCAGTCGCAGGTGTGTGTGTGTGTACGTGTATATATATGTGTGTGTGTGTGTGGGATGACGGTTAAGCGTCACAGACAAAGCTAGCAGACACGCCAAGGAAGCAGATTCGCAAACAGACATCCAGGCACAGGCCAATCCAAACAGAGCAAGATCCCGTGAACATCCTCCATTCGTGACACGCACCGTGTCTGACGAGGGAGGTACGTGATCTTGAAGGGGCACGGGCCAGAACTTTTTCGTGCTGCGCAGACCAGCAATAACCTACCACCAACGCACAAGAACACACAAGAACACAGACAGCCAGGATCACACATGCATGCATGGACGCATGCATGTACGCAAGCAGGAAGTCCCAAAAAGAGAGAGAGTGTGAGCGCATGGGCGTTTGTGCCCCATCCTTCATAGCACATTCAAAAATGGTTGCGTGTTCTGCGCCAACGATGATACAACAACAGCACTCAGATCTCAAACGCCTGCGACTGCGGCACCAATTCATTCGCACCTGCTCGATGCGCATGCAGTCTGGCATCACGTTTCCGTTGACGGTGAAGGTGCTCTGCTTGTCGGCTTGCTTGAGGAGGTGGTGGGTTGACTTGCCCTTGTACACCACGGTGAGCACATACTCGTTTGGATGCGCTGCACCGCGTGGGCGCACGAGGAACGTGCCCTCCTTCATGCCGTGCTTCTTTACCAGGGCTGCGTACGCGGTTGGCAAGTTGGTTGCAGCATTGATGGTGGGGGGGGGGAGGTAATCGAGTGTGAGCGACGTATTGAACGAGTCCCATGAAGAGGCGGTGAGCTCAACACATAAACGCACGCGCACAGACAGACAGACAGATAGACAGACAGACAGACAAACGGAGAGACAGACAGACATACACACACATACACGCACACACGCACACACGCACACACATCCTACCATCAGCTTCGCCCTTGGTCATGGGCGGGTGCATCCACGGGTGCTGGCAGAGGGAAGCAGGAAATGCATGCACGCAAACAAAAGGGTGAGGTGATCAGCAATGCACTCAGGGCGAAGGCGCAGTCCACATTCACCACGCTCTTACCGCGTCATCACTTGCGCTTCCTGTGGTTGTGGCTGGTGCTGCAGGCTGGCTCGCAATCACAGGCGTGTCTGCACAAGACGCAGAAACGAGAACAAGGTGGCGAGCGGAGATAAGCGGATGAGAAGCAAACAAACAAGCTGCATAGCCGTGTCATTGCTCCTGGGCCCTTTGTTGCCGTTGCACTTTTCACAACACACCAACCTTGCTCTGGTGCTGGCGCTGCTGCGTCCGCCGACGGATGTGCCGGCTCTGGATCTGCTGGTGTCTGCTCGGGGTTGTTTGCCTTGTTTTCCACGGCATCTGTGAGCTTCACTGGCCACTTTGGCGGCAGGCTGTCGCTGGAGAGCTTGGAAATAATCTGTGTGCGCGGGCGCGTGTGTGTGTGTAAGTGTGAGTGTGGGTGCAAGTGTGAGTGGGGTATGAGCGTGAGTGTGAGGTAACGAGGGCACGAGATAGCAGGACAAAACAGGCGGCAGTACAAGGCACCACAGGCACCATCTGCCTTGCACCTGCTCCAGCGTCGTGAAGCCGCCAAAGTCTTGTTTGTTCACCGTCAAGACACCGCTCTCCGTCTGCACCAAAGGCGGCGGGCAATGACGTGGAAAGCATGCACGGCGTGAGCACGAACAGCTACCAACTCAGATGCCGACATAAGGACATACACACACCTGCACAGACAGATAGACAGACACAGGCACCTGCAAGCACACACACACACACATGCATGCAGACACACACACACACACACACACAGACACACACATCGACACATGCTGTACCTTCTTGATGAGGTGGTGTGTGGGACGGTTCTTAAAGTTGAGGGACAATACGTAGTCATCCTCTGATCCAGGGCGCCGACGCACGAGGAAGCGGCCGGTCGGATACGCGCCATCATGCATCAACAGCGCTGTTGCATTCGCGAAATGATGACAAGCATGAGCGTCGTGTGAGATGACGCAGCAACATGGCACAATACTCAGGTTGCATTTCGCTCTCTCCCTCCTTCTCAACCTCTCCTCCTCTCTCACTCCGTGTGTCTTCCTCTCCCTCACTCCCTCACATCACAACCACGCAGCCTCACTTGAGGCCTGGTCCTTGGTGATGGTGCCAAAGAGCCATGGTGGGGGCGCCATGATGCAGGAGCGGCGGATAAGGGGTGCGGTTTGCTTCGACCTTAGCGGCGGCCTTGGCGTTGTTTTGTTTTGGTGTGTGGTGTGGGTGTTTTGGTTTGTGTGCGTGCAGGCAACGCCCTTCACGGTGGATAGGTGGGAGTGTAAAAAGGAAAATGTGTGCGAAATGTATGTCTTCAAAGTACGTACATGCTAGATCTTTTATGATGTTTGTGACAGTTTCTGCTGAGCTTCCGCAAGCCTCTGCTGGAGTGAGCTGTTGGTGTGTGTGTGTGTGTGTGTGTGTGTGTGTGTGTGTGTGTGTGTGTGTGTGTGTGTGTGTGTGTGTGTGTGTGTGTGTGTGTGTGTGTGTGTGTGTGTGTGTGTGTGTGAATGAAAGGGGGATGCAAAAGGAGGCAGAAGTCCAAGGATAAGGAAGGATTCAGCACAGTCGCAACTTCAGAAAGCACACATGCAGGCACATATGCGCACCTGAGCAAGGGATTGGCAACCTCAGTGAGGAGGGACGACAGGTTGGAAATGTAACCTGCAAAAGGGGAGCAACGGATGTGAGAAGGGCGGAGAAAGGGGGCAGGCGAAGCAAAGCGACCTTTTGAGCAAGCAGCAGACGCAGCAGCAGCAGCAGCAGTGGACCAACAGCACGCACACACACGCACACACGCACACACACACACACACACACACATACACAGCCACACCGCGCAGCAACTTACTTGCTTGCACACGTCTGCGTGCCAGATCACCCTCAACGCTGTCCGTGTCATCCAGAGAGCTGGGAAGTGAAAACAACGGCAACATATAATGGTGAGGGCGGCAAGTGTGGTCAGAGACAGACAAACACATGGTCACGCAAACACACAGGCAAACAAGCCCACGCACCTTAATTGTGATCTGTAGTGCTCTTGTTCCTCCTGTAGCCAGGCGAGGGGAAGTAAACAAGGGTAACCAAGAGTGTTACATTCAGGATTGAAAGTTGCGCAACACACACACACACGTGCACGTGCAGACAGATGCACACACACACAGACACAGACAGACAGACAAACACACACACACACACACACACACACACACACACACACACACACACACACACACACACAC